TCCTGGTAACATCCTCATAAATCTTCTTTGCACTCTTTCCAGTTTAACTATGTCTTTCCTATCACTCGGTGACTAAAACTGTACACAATACTCCAAGTGCACCCTCACCAAAGACTTATACAACTGTAACAGAACATCCCAACTCCTTTACTCAATGCCTCGACTGATAAAGGCCAGCATGCTGAATGCCTTCTTCACCACCCTGTCCATCTGTGACTCCGCTTTCAACGAACTATGTACTTGTACTCCTAGGTCCCTCTTTTCCACAACACTCCTCAGGACCTTACAATTTACTGTATAAGCCCCACCTTGGTTTGACTTTCCAAAGTGAAACACCTCACACTTATCTGTATTGAATTGCATTTGCCAATCCTTAGCCCACATCTCCATCTGATCAAGATCCCTCTGTAATTTTTGATAATCTTCCTCGCTATCAACGATGCCTACTAATTTTGTATCATTCGCAAACTTACTAATCATGCCTTGTACATCCACATCCAGATCATTTATGTAAATAACAAACAACAAAGATCCCAGCACCAACCCCTGTGGCACACCACTGGTCACAGGCCTCCAGTCCGAGAAACAACCTTCAACCATCACCCTCTGTTTCCTACAGTTGAGCCAATTTTGAATCCAATTAGCTAGCTCTCCCTGGATCTCATGCAACCGAACCTTCATGACTAGCCTGCCATGCAGGATCCTGTCAAAGGCCTTACTAAAGTCCATAGAAGTAATTCCTCCTCATGTCTACTTTAAATCTACTATTCTTGTCTTTCTCTGTCTCATCTTTCTTTTTCCTTTTGCATTTCTAATTCCAGCTTAATCATTTCAATTGCTTTCTCTTCCTTCATCTCTCTCATCCCTTTGAATGCCATTTCCAGCTTTTTCAGCTTTTCTTTACACTCAAGTTGCTTCAACCGTAACTGAATTTCACTTAATTCCAATGTTTCATTACACAAATACTTGTTCTGTTGTAGTTACACTAAACCCAAATGCTGTGCTGGTAATTCAATTATATCTGTCTTCCTAGCTTTAGCAGGTAAAGCTATCCCCAATCTACATGCCAATTCAAGTGACCTGGTTTTCAGAAGTTCATTTAACACCATCAGGAACAACTTGACTGGAGATCCTTTGCAATTTCTACTGCTATTTCTTAATTGCATTACAGAACTTTTGTGATTTTCTTATCATTATTACTAATACCAGATCCAAATCCTCATTGTCTCTATTTCAAAATAATCTGGCCATGAGCCCCCAGTCTCTTGTTATGATTCACTTGGAAAAATGCGCTGTTTAAATCCCTTCTACTCCCAATATCACCACAAAAATGATCAAAGCATGTAAAGTTCCCGATTTACCTGTCTGTTGAAATCAAGTGATCAGAAAACACCAACCAGTTTTCTGTACTTAGCAAGAACTACTGTTTATTACAAACAGGTAAATTCCAATTACAGGTAAACAGCTGTGAACTATCAACGTATGGCTCAACTAATTAATACTCTCATCCCTCTGTAAACGCCACCACACACATATAGACAGACATAGCCAACCAAGATTACCAGCGCACAGAGTTCGCTGAGGTGACCCATTCAGTTGCCAGGATTTTCTGTTAGTCAATCTCTTTTGTCCAGGTTCTTTTCACTTTGCAAGAGGCACAAGGTGAATGGTACACTAACTACAAAGTATTTTAGTTACTGGTTAAAGGTTTACAGTAACTGGCAGGAGAAAAAAACAGTTGATTTTCTTCAGGTATTTTTAGCTCAAAGAGACACACCACCTGCCCATCCAGCTGTCTGAAGGCTTCTCACTGTATCATTCATACCCACAAGCTGTTCAGATAACCAAAAGTTGTCACCAGGCTGATGATCATTGGCATCATGACTGGTCACAGTTTCACAAACCCAATCAGCTATTTGGTGCCAGCCAAATCTCATTCTGCATATAGCAGCTTGTCCTGCACCGCCTACAGCTTCCCCACACTGCTTGAATAAAGCAGCAGCGCAAACACCTCACATAATTTACACAATTCGTCAATGCTCAGAAATTTTAAAACAGGCCTTTCCCATTTTAGTCCACAATCAAAAATACAGAAAATTAAGTAATACAGTACCTATTTTTCCCTTACATTATGACATTAAACCCAGGCCCATCTGCCTTCTCAGGTGGATATAATACTCTATGGCATGATTAGGAAGAATGAAAGAGTTGTCTCCAGAGTTCTGTTCAACATTAAGCCCTCAATCAACATCAAAAACAGATCATCTGGTCATTACCAGATCACTGTTTGAGAGTCCTTGCCATGTGCAAATTGTCTGCCATGTTTAATCTGTTACATCAGTGGCTACACTCAAAAATTTAATTGGCTGTAAAACACTTTGGGATGAGTGTTTTGCATGGTCTATGTTCTGCCATTGTAAAAAGCCTTACATAATACAAGCACTTTTATTCACCGATATAAAATAACTGAATTTGTGACATGGATCAATATGGCCGTAATAAAAGTAAAGCATGTACTAGAGACAGAATGGAAAAAACAAAAAGTTATGCTAAATTTGTATTAAACCTCATTCATTATCAGATTTAGAGTTCTGGTCACCATATTATAAAAAAGACAAGGCAGTGGAAAGGTTGTCAAGATGATTTGCAAGGACGATACCAGAACTACAAGGTTATAACCGTCAGTGAAACAGCCTAGGTCTCTTTTCTCCTGAAAGTACAATGATTGGGAATGACCTAATAAAGTTCTTTAAGATTATGAAACAACCAAGCATTTTATACATATATCAGAAGCAAGAGAGTGGCTAGGGAAAGATTAGGCCCACTCAAGAATAAAGGAGGGAGATTATGTATGGAGCCAGAGGAAATAGGTGAGATCCTTAATGAGTACTTTACATCGGTATTCACCAAAGAGAAGAACATGAGGGGTGCTGAGATCCGGGCAAGGTGTGTGAATACTTTCGGAGGGAGGGGGCCAGTCAACATATTGAAGGAGGAAGTGTTGGGTGTCTTAAACTACACTAAGACAGACAAGTCCCCAAAGCCAGAACGGATCTATCCCAGGATACTGTGGGAGGCAAGAGAGGGAATAGCAGGGGCCTCAACAGATAGCTTTGTATCCTCTTTAGCCTCAGGCAAGAGGACCGGAGAATGGCCAATGTTGTTCCTTTGCTTAAGAAGGGAAACAGATATAATACACATAATTATAGGCCGGTGAGCCTGATGTCAGTGGTGGGGAAGCTGTTGGAGAAGATACTGAGACACAAGATTTATTTACACTTGGAAGTGAATGGACTTGTTACTGATAGGCAGCATGGGTTTATGCAAGGAAGGTCATATTTCACCAACTTGATTGAGTGTTTTTCAGGAGGTGACAAGAATGATTAATGAGGGAAGGACAGTGGATGTTGTCTATATGGACTTTAGTAAAGCCTTTAATAATGTACCTCATGGTAGGCTGGTACAGAAGGTGGAGTCTCATGGGATCTGGGGTGACCTGGCTGGATGGGTACAAAACTGGCTTGGTGATAGGAGACAGAGCGTAGCTGTGGAAGGATGCTTTTCAGAGTGGAGATCTGTAACTAGTGGTGTTCTGCAGGGATCAGTGCTGGGACCTTTGATGTTTGTAGTATATATACAAGTGATCTGGACGAAGACGTAGGTGGTCTGATCAGTAAGTTTGAGGATGACACCAAAATTGGCGGAGTTGCTGATAGTGAAGAGGATTGTCAATGGATACGGCGGGATATGGATAGATTGCAGATTTGGGTAGAGAAAAGGCAGATGCAGTTTAATCCAGACAAATGCGAGGTGATGTATTTTGAAAGATAAAATTCAGGTATGACTTATACGGTAAATAGCAGAACCCTTAGGAGTATTGACCTACAGAAGGATCCCTGAAAGTGGCAACACAGGTGGATAAGGTGGTCAAGAAGGCATACAGCACCCTTGCCTTCATCAGCCGGGGCATTGAATATAAAAGCTGGCAAGTTATGTTACAGCTGTACAAAACTTTGGTTAGGCCACATTTGGAATATTGCATGCAGTTCTGGGCACCACAGTAGCATAAGGATGTGGATGCTTTGGAGAGGGTGCAAAGAAGATTTACCAGGATGTTGCCTGGTCTGGAGGGTTTTAGTTATGAGGAGAGGTTGGATAAACTTGATTTTCACTGGAATGACAAGAGGTGTACAAAATTATGAGAGGTATAGATAGGGCGGGTAGTCACAGGTATTTTACCAGGGTGGAAATGTCAACTACAAGAGGGCACAGAATCAAGGTGAGAGGGGAAAGGTTTAGGGGAGAAGTGCAGGGGAAATGTATCACACAGAGTGTGGTGGGTGCCTGGAATGCATTGCCAGATGGTGGAAGATGGTGGAAGCAGGCAGGTTAGCAACGTTTAAGGCGTATCTGGTTAGGCACATGAACGGGAGGCAAACAGAAGGATAGAAACTGCGCATGGACAATAAGTAGTGGGTCTAAATAAGGACTAGGAATCTGTGCAGGCTTGGTGGGCCTGTTCCTGTGCTGTATTGTATTGTATTTTGATAGGGCCTATACAGTGTGTTTTTACTTGTGGGAAAGAATAAAGTTAGCATTTCTCAATAAGATAGTCACCAAGAAATCATGCAGGAAGTCAGAATAAATTACTTATCTGAGAATGTGCAGTCAAGTGCAACAGGGAATAGCTGACATGAAAGCTGTGTTTAAGGGCAAGTTGGTTGAGCACATTAGGCAGCAGCAAACAGAGAGAGTAATGCCGAATGCAGAAAAAAAGGGAGGCAGTTGGGAGTGTAATCACAGACATGCCCTACATTTGTAGTGTATATTTAATGTACTTCATTCTTCTATTCAAATCTCTAATGGCATCTCAACTTCTTATCCCTTTAACTGCCTCCATGTTACCCTGCTCAAGCAGCGGACAAAAGGAGCTCCTTTTCAGGCAGCGATAATTTTTACAAAAATTGAACAAAAAAAATTCAAATGAGTGAAAAGAATAATTATACACAAAATTGAAGCTTTATTAAATATTTCCAAGGAAAATATTAAGTCACCAAAATTATAAATTTGCCATTCAACAGTTGTTATTCTGACAAAATGTTTCCTCAAGTCTTTCACAGAAAATATTATTTAAAAGCTGGTTTCAGAAATGCCTTAAATCAGGAAACCAGTTTTAGGTTTCCTTACGAGATAGTAGGAACTGCAGATGCTGGAGAATCCGAGACAACAAGGTGCAGGGCTGGACGAACACAGCAGGCCAAGCAGCATACGTCAGCTGTTACCAAATGGCTATATTTAAAATAACTCAGATGCAGTTTTATTAAGATCCCTTTTTTTTCCTCAAAGTCCTGGTGCTCAATGTATCCATCTAACCACAAAGGGCAAGGACACTTAATGAATAATTTAGTGGGGAGTGGGGAGTTTTAGTTTCTTGAGGGGGGCGGAATTCAGTGACAAGTGATCAATAGTAATAATGCAAAATGAATGAAAGCAAATCGGTTGCTCAATTTTATTTTCTAATTCACGTTTAGTCAGTTTTGCATGACTGTCATTGGTCAATTTCATCCTCTAAGAATTAGAGAGCATGTTGCTTGTATCCAGATCATTATGCATTTCTATACTCCTGGTTATTATTTTAACAGTAAAGAACAAACCACTGCAGGCCATTGAGAGTTACAGCTAGTGATCAGAGTACCTGTATTAGTACCAATGCAATGAAACTACATGATTGCTTTATCTTTCCCCAACACTAATACTGTGCTTTAAGCTTAAGAGGCAACTGGATAAAATGAGCTAATCAGCGTGCATTAAATTTCAGTTAAGCAGATGTTAGTTCCAGCACAGGGAAATATTGTCTCACTTTTATGCTATGACCAACAAAGTTATTCACTTGTGAATCAGCTATAATTTAATTAGAGTAAAAATCAGAATATAGCAAGGAGACATTCTTAAAACGCAAACTGATATGTTAATTTCCTTCAGCAATACAAATTGTTACCACTGGAATTCACTCAGCTGTCATCTATCAAATACATTTAAGTTTACTTTATTTGAAATGATTGCATATGCTTTACAGATTACTCTAATTACTGTAATAGCAAATGAATTCAGAATAATTTAATGCTGCATACTTAGTTTTAAAAGACATTTGCATTTCTTTGATGCATATTGAAGCAACCACAAATTTCAAGGGAATGAATTTGGTCCTTTAAGTTCACTGATAAAATTTAGCAGACTGTTGAGAAACAATCTGTTCATTATCGTGGCCAAGGCAATTCAAAAAGCCATCTCTGTATCACACTTCCCACATGCAAAGGCAAAGAAAAAAAACTACAGGATTCAAACATTCACACTTCCATTAAATAATTTTGATAAGGTTCCTAAGTAACTTTTTCTTGGGTCAGTAAATTTCGTGTACACAATCTCACGTACTCAGTACAGTAGAGATTAACACAATTTCTAAAAGCAGTGCAGGTGTCACACAGTGTAAGAACTTACAACTCTGTAGAATTGAAGCTCCAAGTCCAAAAATAAGAGATTATTAGAATTGACTACATTTTTAAAAAATGCTTGTGGGTCTATTTTGTTTTACAATTTTTTTGTGGAGAACATTGTTTATAAAATATATGTTTTAAAATTCTTCTTTTCTTGCTGCAAAACATTAAAGATAATCAGGTGAAATCTATTAGGCACTAGGACCTGGGAGAAATTTAGAACTTTTACCAGATTAGTGCCACTTGCATCTGTAATTACCATTTCCCTTTTATCATTCTTGTATGCTCCTTACCAAATACTGATTGAATGGTGTACCTTCTGTATTCATAGAGACAGGACATTTAATATTGTCATGGAAAGCATATTTTTGTTTGTGATTCTACTGTCACGGATAAATGTCGCTGTTGACTACAATATAAATCATAAATTAAAATCAGGATGGGCAAGCAAGGTGCCAAAATAAGCCAATTTGGACATGAAAATACTGGGCTGTAATCAGAACAAGCAAAATGTTGCCAATTGATTGGAATACTTCTAAGTGGAATTCAAAAAATAAGTAACACTTAATCAAAGAAACATCACCTTGAGCCCTGTGCATAAATACCCATATTTGAATGTGTCTGTATGTGTGTTTGTGTATGCATGTACAAATGTGTGTGCATGTATAAGTGTGTGTACATGCACGTGTGACACCACAGATACCCAATCAATTTGTTGAGAGTGATTTCTTCATGGATCCAAATGTTCGTGAATTTTGTCTCCATTTTCCAGTATTCCTTCTTCCAATAATTTCCATTTCAATCTCTTTTCATGTTTAGTTTTGAAAAGTAATCCATGACCTATCAACAAACAAATAAACAAACAACTTTAGTCATAATATAATCAATTTAGAGCAACAGTTAAGTCAAACCTATAGATGTGATAGAGGGAGTACTGTATTTTTACAGTGTTTTGTAATCTTTCAAATTATTACTATGTAAATAGCTTTATTTTATTTCTTTGGCATAATAAAGTTCTGTTTTATTGTCAAAACTAGGTCTGTAGCATTGTGTGCTTATGTTTCAGTGAAAGGCCACATTGTTTTAAAAAAAACATGATTTAGTCTGAGATCATAACACTGATCTTCAGTCAACATCCAGGAATGTTCTGCTACTCCACGTGAAACGTTAAGCTACCCTTTTTACAGATGCTGCCTGAACTGCTGAGTATTTTCAGCATTTCATTTTTATATTTCATATAAGAGGGTTCACAATTTTATACCTAGACAATAACTGCTACTAACCTGTGCAATCAGCCAGCTCTTTGAAAGCTTTCTTCTTGCAGCACCCACGGCATAAGTTGAAGATGCATTTAGTCCCCTGAAGAATGTCAGATAAAAAGTGTATAAGTACCAAGACCCAGAAATCATACATAAAAAATATACAATGAATTTTCTGTATTCATTGCAGCATTGTTTTCATCTAATTAGGAATCGTTAACATTTAACAAGAAAACTGGTTTTGACAAATAGAATACAGCAGAAGAACTTTTTTAAGCAAACTTCCATATATATTAAAAAACACTAAAATTAGCTTAAGAATATGGTTTATAATTATATTTCTTAGTATCACAGGGATTTGTTTTCTACTTATTCTATTTGATATCTCAAAGAGTTATTTTAGCAGTCGAGACCATCCGTGAGAATGTCTTAATCGTGTGGAGAATTCCCCTCAGCTCCAGCTATTTTCAGAGGTAGAAATGTCATATACTATCTCTTGCATGTGGATGCCACAATCCCTTGATCTGGTTACTTTTTCCAATATCTCCCAGCTAATCTAGTCCTTTATTTACTTTATCACAAAACTCTGTGGAGGACCACTGCAGATTCCCCCCATATTTTCAAACTAGGCCATCTTCCAGCTCTATTCCTTCACATAAATCAAAACTTAGATTAAGCCTCAGCCACATGCAACACCAATCTCAATAATGATGTAGCATGCTCTAGAATGTCTGCACATTGACCTTTAAGTTAATTATCTTTTGTGTATAATTTCTTATTTAATCTAATGGAGTAAATAGGTTTTACAACCTTTCAGGTCACCAAAAGGCCATTTAGGACTGAGAGAAGGAGAATTTTTTTCATCCAGTGAGTGGTGAGCCTGTGGAATTCTCTGCCAGAGAAAGCAGTTGAGGCCAAAACATTGAGTATTTTTAAGGAATTAGAAATGGTTCATAGGGTGAAAGCAATCAAACAGTATTGGGAGAAAGCGGGAAAAGGATACTGAGTTAGATGATCAGCCACGATCTTGCTGTGGCTCAAACACAAATGACCTAACCCTGCTCCTATTTCCTATGTTTCTTTGTTCACAAAATGGTTTTAAATTAATTTAGCAACCCCCTCATAAAACAAATCACCTCTTGAATACCCTCCTTGTAAAGATTGCAGACATCATTTCTCCAGATATTTAGCTGAATATCCCACCTGCTATTTTACAGCCCCATTTCTTTTGACTTTATGAAACAAACATGGGTCACCTTTTCGCTGCCATTTCTTGAGGGATTTTTAACTTCCCAAATATATAAATACTCGCTAAAATATTAATATGAACCATGAACTAAATATTTGCAACACTATCTAGGTAAGAAATTAATTCTATGAACTATTGATTTACTGCTAATTGATCATTTTGTGTACAAATTTATTAAATTCAAAGCTATGAAAACAGAAGCTAATTTAATAGCACCGTGATTCACTCTTTAGCTCGATAACTTAACAGCACCGTAAATATTACAAAACTAAATGTTTTCCTATGATAGCTTTATCACAGAATCAGAGAATCCTTACAGCACAAAACAAGGCCATTTGGTTCATCGTGTCTGTACAGATTCTCCAAACTGGTACAATGACTTGAAGTCTATTTCCCTACACTCTTGTATATTATTTCTATTTAAATACTCATCCAATGTCCCCTTCAATGTCTCATTTGAACCTGCCTGCACTACACTTCCAAGTTTTAAAGTCTTACCCCGAACCTGCCAATTTTGGAATTTAAGTGGGATGCATAGCATGAGGGCCTTCATAATAAAACTTAATTTTCAAAATTTATAATCTGAGCTGTGACAATTAAATGCAACTTCCACATGTCAGCAGAAGCGATATGCAGTTTAAGGGATGACAGGAAAGAATCCCATAAATGTCTGCCCAAGGGATTTGACTCGGAGATTATGTCTAGATCATTGCCTTTAAAAGGCTTTCAATTTTGGAATATTCAGCATTATGACTACTCTGGTATTAAACTGATCAAAGTGAGTAGCAGTGTGGACTTAAAAAGTTGAGGGCAATTTAAATTCCTAGTCGACTTACCCTTCAAATGTATTCAGAGACACGTTCAAAACTGTAAAGCTAGAATGGTGCAAACTACAATAAAAAGTAAAGGATGATCATCTTCAAAGCACATAATAAATGCAGTGTTTACAGTAACCTTTGGGGTTCCTGATGATCCATATACTCTGTAGGCACTGCATGCTTTCCATACTGCTTCAGGAGGAACTGTGAAGAATTGATTTATGAAATTTCTTCTGCTGTCTTTGTGGTGATTATAATATGCGTATAGAAGTTGATTTTTGTTTAGTACAAAATGTGTTTTCCACATATTCACAATGGTGAAATATCAGCGTGGGAATGGTGCATTTTTCCACTTTTCAGCAGCAATGTGATCACACAGGACAATGCATTACAGGGGAAAACAAAAAGTATGTTGTAGTCAAGATGTTCTGTTTTTGTTACCAGCTCACTTAGTGCATTATTTAAACATACAGCATTACAACACTATTTTTTTTGCTCTGATTTCCCTTGCTCACTTTGAGGATATGCTCTATCATATTGTACAGAACTACCACCCATGCTAAATGGGACAGACTTCATTCGAATCTGGCAATTTATGACTGACCATCCACGAGGCACTGTAGGCCATCAGCAGCAGTACAAGCCTCATGGCCCAGCATATTCCCCATTCTATCATTACCATCAGTCCAAAGGATTAACACTACTTCAATAAAAAATGCAGGAGGGCATGTCAAAAGTAGCACCAAGCGTAACTAGAAATGAGGTGTCCACCTGGTAAGCCTACAATACACCTCTGCCTGCATGCCAAACAGCATAAGCACAAATGAGATGCAGTAAAACAATTATATAAACAAATGATCAGATCCAAGTTCTGCGAGCCTGCTGCATTCATGAATGGGGTGGACAATTAAATCACTAAAGGAAGTTTCACAAATACCTTCATCCTCAATGATGGGGAGCCTAGCACATTACGGCAAAAGGTAAGGCATTTGTAACAATCTTTAGCCAGAAGTGGTGGATGGATGATTCATTTCTGCCTCCTCTAGAAATTCACAGCCTCTCAGATGCCTGCCTTTAGCCAATTCAATTCACTCCACATGACATCAAGAAATGGCTGAAGGCACTGGCTACTGCAAAAGCTGTAGGACCCTAACAGTATTCCATCAATAGTACCAAACATTTGTGCTTCAGGATTTGCTGTGGCTTTAGCTAAGCTGTTCTAATACAGTGTGCAACACAGGAATCTACCTGACAATCTATAAACAATCGCAGGACAAATCCAACCCAGCCAAATACTACATCAGTTAACTCTTCATCGTTAGTAAAAATGGAGGGAACATCAACAGTGCTATCATGCAGCACTTTTTTTTAGCAATAACATGTTCACTGATGCTCAGTTCTGGGTTCTGCTAAGGCCACTCAGCTCCTCATCTTGTTACAGCTTGGCTCAAACATGGATAAAAAAATTGAACTCCAGAACGGAGGTGAGTGCAGCTGCCCTTGACATCAAACATGCATTTGACCCAGTATGATATCAAGGAGCCCTCGCAAAACTAGAGGCAATGGGAATTGGGGGAATACTCGCAACTGTGTGGAGACATTTCAAGCATAAAAGAGGATGAATGTGGCTGTTGGAGGTCTGTCGTCTCAGATCGAGTACGTCACAACAGATGCTCCTCAAGGTAGTGTCCTAGGTCCAACTATCTTCAGCTGCTTCATCAATGACCTTTCATTCATCATCCCCTGAAGTGCAGATATTCAATGATGATATGTAATGGTCAATACTATTGTGACTCTGAGTATACCAAAGCTGTTCATATCCAAATGCAGCAAGATCGGGACAATATACAGGCATGGGCTAACAAGGGGCAAGGAACATTTGTGCCACACAAGTGACAGGCAAATCTAACCATTGACCATCGTCATTCAATGGTATTACTTCCACAGCAATCTCGAGTCCAAGGATTTGTCCATCTCCCTGAAACACCTGCCAAATGTGAGATGCCACTCTAGGATTGGACTCAGCAGCCAGGCAAGGACCCATGGAACCCATGTAAATAAAAAGCAACAAATGGGGTACACAACTGAATTTGGGCTGAGATAAGAGAGCTTCAACTACAGGTGGAAAGGCAAATTGTGAGGGGATTCAAACAGTTTACAGAGAGATATTGATAGGTTAGGTGAGTGGGC